TTTTTGTTGATGTGTAAAATATCCAAATAACGTTTATATATACTTACTCTCTTGTTAAAAGGTGATGAAGTTGCAGCGTAAGCCAGCCATCAGTGTACCAAAACTTCCCCTCTCTGGAGTTTACACACAGCTAACCTTTCTGCGACAAGTGCCTGATCTAAGTTTGATCTTCAGTGATCCTCTCAACACACCATCCTCAGAGAGCCAGACAGACTCGTCCACGTAGCAGCTGATAGCCAACTCATCAGGTCTGATGCTAACCGCCACAACACAATCATCTAAGGAACCTCGTTAATGATATTCTTACAATGTGCCTAGGCTGGGTTTCAGAAGACTGAACTATTTTCTCTTGCAAACAAGTTATACATTTCACTTGTTGGATAGACACAAATTGAAACTATATTGATCAAAACCTGAATAAATTTTTAAAAGCAATGTAATTCTCTACTGGTTAGTTTTTTCGTGTTAAACTGTACTTCTCTAATGAAAAGTCACATTGACGAATAGCACATTTTTTGTGTATTTCATCTGACAAAAGACTGCGAGTGCAGATTTGTGTGTATGCATTAACCACTAAACAGGATTGTAAGACCAAGATCACTTTTGTATGATCACCTTTATGTAGAACATCGTTAAAACATCGAATGTCAACCATTCTTTGAAGTATTTTGATTTTCTAGACAGTGACTCTACAATGCAAGTTCGAGATTTCAACACTTAGTTACTGACACTACGGCCAAGATTTGGGCTTTTTTCTCTTTTCTTGTGTTCACTGAAGATACTTTTAGATACCACTTTTGGATGTAATGCAACACACTTAACAACTGGTAAATATGAAATAGTTTCTTTAGTAAGCGAATTCGGTTTCATTTTTAATGGCCTCAGGCAGATTTTGGCTTTTTTTCTCTTGCGCAAGTACTTTTAGGACACACTTTTGAGGTATGCAAAACCTTAAAAACTAGAAAATGAAGTACATTGTCTGATTAAATTTTTTCTTAAGACTGTTTCTCTAAGTCATGCCCATTTTCGACTGATTAAGCACATTGTCTTGAAGTCTACAGAATAGATTGTGTGTAATATTGTCACCAAGGAATTGTCCAAGATACACTTTTTATGTATCACAAAACCTTAAATCATACTGAAGATAAACGTAGCTCTGATTTCATGAGACTTCCAGTGCTTTACAGCTACCTGTGATCCTACGTATCCAGTGGATCCAATCCAGCTTATGTATACATCAATGTTAAGCCCTTTTTCCACTTTTTTCTATATGTTGGGCTGACCAGATTTACTATTTCAGCACAGCACCAGGAGTATGGCGCTACATTTACAACTGGTAGACAATGAGCAAGTATTTGTAAGGATTCAGTTGTGTTCTTTGAAGAGGTTCATTATGAACACATCATATGTTTAGACAAAAAACTATACTTATTCTAAAATTTGGACCTTCTTGCTGCGCGGTTGGAAATGATAGATGAAAAGGCTACAAAGCTTAAAGAACTTTTTTAAAAGACTCGCAATTCTACAGAGAGCACCCGCGTCATTTCAGAGCGAATAAGTCGCACCCTCCACTCAGCTCAAACATTCCAAAACTTAAGGACCCCACTGAAGACGACGTTGAAAACTAGCCATGGATCTGAGAAAACCAATCTCCCCCCTGCGCAGTTGCAGCCAGAACAAACTCCTGGGACTACCATC